GAGAGAGGGAGAGAGGGAGAGAGGGAGAGAGGGAGAGAGGGAGAGAGAGAGAGAGGGAGGGAGGGAGGGAGGGAAGGAGAGAGAGAGAGAGAGAGAGCAGATACCCAATATGGAGGAAAATCTAGGAATCAAACTTTAGATAGATGGATCTTCTCACAAACGCACCCAGTTTGTAGTGGTAGGGCAAGTTGGGCACTCTCATGGCCTGTGGGTCACTCTCATCCGAAACGTTGAAGTGATAAGAGGGGGCCAAGGCAGGCAGAGTCATCGTGATTGTTCATGTGAAGACTAGAATTCGAATTTGTGGTACCCACACCAAACTTCTTCCCGTCTACCAGGCACTTCCATTCGGTCTTCCAGGCGGCTCAGGTTCACATCCTTTGCAGTAGACGCCTATTCAAGACTTCAAAGAATGCCAAGCAACTGCCAAGCACGTTTGTGGTTGTCAATCCTAACTTGAGTGCCCACCAAACCACCAAAACCCCTTGGTTAGCCATTGTCTGGGGAATGGATCATCAGACCACCCGTTCCACAGGTTCCGTCCGCACTCTCCAGGGCCTTCCAGGAACTCTTCGAAGTTGATCTGCCGTGGAAAAACGGTAGGTGATGCACCCAGACCAAACTGGAAACGTTCCCAGTAGTCCTCTTCTCAACCGACAGAACAGCTCAGGTCTGGGCCTACACCAGTCTCCATCCCTATAATATGATGAATAATGGGGAGTTCCCCTCATCCAGCCAGCCCAAAACGCCTTGCCGTTGCCATCGATGTCTATGACCTCCCAAGCAAGTTCTTTCTCCAGGTCATGAAATTGTATGGAAGCAAACAAGTACAGTGTGTACATATATATATGATATAAGGAACTTCCAGGCAAAAATCTCACAGAGCCAAGTCCATGACCTCCAAGAGGCCCTTGGCATCAGAGGGGTCTACATCGATGGTCTCAAAGAACTCTTGCCTTGGACCCGATTATGGACCGAGCATCTCTCCATCCAGGTGTGGGGAGTGGACAAAATCCGAATGAATTGAAGTCTTTAGAGTTTAAGAAGTTCACACGATAGCTTTGCCTCGTTGGCTTCAATCTGCTCACCAATGCTTCCAGTAGCCAAGTGAACCGATTAGCGCAAAACTTTGAGACAACCAAAATCTGTGGCAGCGAGCGTGGCCGAAGCAGTTCAGGTTATATAAGGAAAAACCTTGTTAGGTATGAGTGTCGAAGAGTGTAGACTTTGGAGTGTTGGGTTCACACTTAGAATGTTCTTGTCTATTGAAAGAATGATGGTCCATTCGAACTGGTTTCATTGTTACTAACCTTCCCCACCTGTTCATGAAGAAGTCATAAGTTTCCCAAGACAAAAAGGAACTATATAGTACACCGGCATAGACCCCAGATAGCAACTAACTCTAACGGAAGAACGGAAGCACATCTTTTCCTCTTAGCCCATCAAGCCCATGAGACAAGTGGGGAGACATGTAAGGAGACAAGTGGGGAAAAAGTTTCCCAACAAGTCATCTAAATCTCAACAAATACCCAAAGACCTTCCGAGAAAAAAAAAAGGAAGTCACAAACACATGAAGAAAAAAGACTGCCTCCATTACCCCAGGCTACACCGCTGGGGTGGAAGTCTGACCCAAGATCTCGTCGGGGCTGATAAAGCCAGACCCATCAATGTCGATCTCTCGGAAGAGCCGCCGGGCCTCTTGCCAGACGTTCAGTAGTTGGACATGAAGAATCAGAGACTGCGGAATTGTTCGAGTGGCTGAAGCAGGGCATTGTGAATTTGAAGTGATCTTGTTGGCTAAACAGGAATCCAAAAAACGAACTTGTGAGGTCTTTGGATCACTCTCAGGATAGCTCAAGCTCAGGCATCTTCAGAGATCACACGATCGGTCACCCACACCTGATAGATTCGATTTCTCAGCTGGAGCTCCTTGGCCTGTTGACTCATGGTCTCCACAAAGGTTCCTCAACGGTCACAAAAGCTGGACTGTTGGAAGAGGTCAAAGTGATTCAAAGTTGCTAAATGTCCATAAACCTCCTAGACGTGCATTTGACATGCATCCATGTTTAGTCCAGCCAACGATCTGTCCAAAGAACACACAGCATCTGCAGGTGCAAATGGATAAACAGGAGCAGAAATATCCTGCTGTGGACAGATGGAACAGTGGCATGAACACACCATTTGACAGTTGGTATGATCTTTCCCAACACAAAGCATACTCGGTAGCAGCTACGACGTGTGTGATCACACACTTTCATCCAAC